CTTTTCCTTAGCTGTGCTACTCTCTTTTATTCTATTGGCTTTTGAAAGCCAATAGAATAGACTCTACTCAAGAGACTCTATTCTATTGGCGCTCAAAAGCCAATAGAATCTATTGGCTTTCAAAAGCCAATAGAATAGACTCTCTTGAATAGAGTCTAATTCTATTGGCTTTCAAAAGCCAATAGGAATTGTCCAGGCTGTCTCTGCCCTGCTGAGCCCGCCAAAAGTCCCAGTCTGCAAACGGTGCTGCAAGTTGTCTGCAGCTAAGGCAAGGTTTCTGGACGTTTCCACCCCTCCCTGCTGAGCAACTAATAAACTTAAGTAAAAGAGGACCAGGGGTGGGATGTGGGAGGCTGGTGGGTGCAGGGAGGGTTGCTGGTGCGCGTGGGGCCCGGCAGGTGGCTTACCTCCCTTGGGCTGGGCCAGCTGGTGGCCCAGCCGGTGGTCGGCCTGCACCCTTGCTGCCGCGTGCCATGGCCACCCAGGAACGCCTGGGCCTGCCTGCCACCGCACTGAATGTGCGGTGGCCAAGGTAAGGCTAGCGGGGCAGCGGCGGGCACAGGGAAGGTTGCTGGTGCACATGGGGCCGGCGGGTGGCTTACCTCCCTTGGGCTGGGCCAGCTGGTGGCCCAGCTGGTAGTCGGTCTGCGACATTGCTGCCGCTTGCCAGCTACGCCTCAGCCGGCACAGGGGATGGCACCACGCATGCACGGAACTCCCAGGCCGAAGTGGTTGCTGGGCGACGGCCCGCATGCAGCCGGAGAGGAGGCGGAGCGTAAGCACCTCCTCCTGCCCCACCCACAGGGAAATACAGGTAGTCCTCGACTTACGACCACATGGTTGGGGTTGCGGCATTAGGAAGGTTGAGAACCCCTGATCTAGATAATACATTTCCTCCAGGGTTTTCCTCAGCTGCCCACAGACCACTTTCTCAACAATCTTCCCAAAAAGGGAAGGTAGGATACTAGTCATTAGTTATTGAAGACTGTTGGGTTGGGAGATGGACTCTTGAGGAGGGGGTGCACTATTGTCTCTTTCAAAAAGCTGCCACCACAGCATGGACCCAACTGTGGGTAACCTCCCTGGCCACTTTCATAACCCAGGAAGGACCCAAATTCAGTAAATAAGTGGCTGAACTGAAAGCACAGAAACCCTATTTTCTCAGGCTGGTACTCTCCTGTACAATTGTTCATACAGAGAATTCCAGCTTCCCTCAGTAATGGCAAGTTGTTGAAATTCTGAAGCAGCAAAGCCTCTCCAGATCATGACCCTACTAACTAGCAATAGCAATAGCACTTAGACTTATATACCACTTCACAGTACTTTATAGCCATCTCTAAGCGATTTATACAGCATATTGCCCCCAACAATCTGGGTCCTCATTTTACCGACCTCGGAAGGAGGGAAGACTGAATCAACCTTGAGCCGCTCAGAATTGAACTCTCAGAGTGAGCAGTGAGTTAGCCTGCAGTACTGCATTCTAACCACTGCGCCACCAGGGCTATTACTACATGTTTGAAAGGTGAAATGATATTCTTATTGTGGAATGCAGGGTTTAGTTTTATCATAAAGAATGAACAAGAGGATCAACCATGCAAATTTGACGTGAGCATCAATGTTCTTAGCAAACAATGCCTTCTATACTATTAGAGGTGGTGCAGTAGTTAGAATGCAATATTGTAGGCTACTTCTGCAACTGCCGGCTGCCAGCAGTTTGATTCTCACCAGCTCAAGGTTGACTCAGCCTTCCATCTTTCCGAGGTCGGTAAAATGAGGAACCACATTATTGGGGGCAATATGCTGACTCTGTAAACTGCTTAGAGAGGGCTGTAAAGTAATGACTTATATACTGAAGCAGTATATACTGTAAGTCTAAGTGTTATTGCTACTATTTTCCCATTAATTTCATTTTTTCCAGTGCTCGTTTGGGATGAAATCATACCAAGATGAGAGATGCTGGATAGTATTCTGGGGTCTTTGTGACTTCTTAGATAATTTTACAAAACATTTCTGGACTGTCAGCAACACTACAGCCCTTCTTAGGAAGATTCACTATTTTTTCAAATCATCTTTCCAAGACTTTGTCTCTGACTTTGGATTGGTGCAGTCCCAGAGCTTTTGAAATAGTTCTCCTGGACTCATGGGCATTAATTATTATATTTACAAACTTTAAAGTAAGCCTTGATCTACCTCTATTAGTGATGTGGCAAGAACTACTGTGTGACAAATGAAGGCAGAAATTTACATAGAGTAGGAGTGCCCCAAATCAACTTTTGTTGTTTAACAAAGTGTTGATATAATTGGCTTTTCTGCTCTTTTAATTGAATGGACTGAAGCAAGAAAACTAATTTCTTTTTCATACTACTATATCATGCATTGGATGACTTTGTTTAAAACATAAAAAAAAGCAAGAGTAGATCATTTATTAACTGCCTCCCAACCCTCCCCTACCCTCCCCCGACCTTCCCAGAGCTGAATACAGGCTTAATTAAAAAAAAAAAAAATTTAAATCTTAAAACACATATAAACCATAAGCAAATCTAAATACATTAATTAAACAAATTATAAAATAGTTAACAACAATATATATATATATAAAAAAATACCAGAAGGAAGGAAAAAAGAAACAGAAAAAGAAGAAATCAAATAAAAAGAAAAAGAAAATTAAAAAGAAATATCTATAAAATATCTTAAATTTTAAATATAAGTTATTCAAAAACTAAGTAGTATTTTTTTATATCCAACTTATATTGTATGAAATCTATCCATTTTTTCCATACCAAAAAATACCTCTCTTGCGATTGATCTTTCAAAAAAGCCAAAATCTTTGCCATTTCCGCCAGATAAGAAACTTTAAGAAACCACTCTTGTAAAGTAGGCAAAGATTCCTTCTTCCAACATTGCCCTACTAACAACCTGGCCGCTGTAATTAAATTTAACATCAATATAGTCTCTTTACTATCACAATCAGAAACAATACCTAACAAAAACAATTGTGGGGTAAATTTTACCCTTCTTCTAAAAATTCTTTGAATATTCCACCATATCTTAATCCAAAAAGCTTTTATATTTTTACATGACCACCAGATATGATAATAAGTAGCATCCAAACATCCACATCTCCAACATTTAGGCTGCAAGTCAGGATACATACGAGACATTTTTTATGGATCAAGGTGCCATCTATAAAACATTTTATAAAAATTTTCCCTTAAATTTTGGGCTTGTGTAAATTTAACATTTCTCACCCAAATAATTTCCCAGGTATCTAATAGAACCGGTTCATCAAAATTTTGTGCCCATTTGACCATACATTCTTTAACTAATTCTACTTCTGAATCCAGTTCTACTAACACCCCATAAATTCTCTTAATATGAGTTCGACTTTGATCTTTTGTTTTAGCAAATTCTCATCTTTTCTAAGCAAACCCACATTACGATCTATCTTTCACCTCTCCACTATTTGTCTATAATGAAACCATGAGTAAATAATATTTTCTTGTGTTAGATCTTCCAAAGATTTTAATTGCCAGTTTTTACCATCCCATCTAAGTAGTTGTGCATAAGAAACGCTATCCATCTTGACTCCTCTCCTTATCCCTTCTATCGCATGCCACGGTATGGCCCATAGTGGAATTTTAAAATCACTTCTATAATATTTCTTCCAAACCCGAAGTAAAGAAATCCTTATAATATGAGATTTAAAAACCCTATCAACCTTTTTATTAAAAATTAAATAGGCATGCCATCCAAAAAGTAAATCCCAACCCTCCAAGAGGAGTATTTCTACATTTGTTAAATTAACCCAATCACTAATTAATGTTAAAGCCACAGCATCATAATACAATTTCAAATTCGGTACCTTGAGTCCACCTCTCTCACGAATATCTTGTTTAATTTTAAGTTTTACTCTTGGTTTTTTCCCTGCCCAGATAAATTTATTTATACCTTTCTGCCATTCATTTAAATTAACCTCATTCTTTAAAATAGGTATCATTTGAAATAAAAAAAAAAAACTTTGGCAGAACATTCATTTTAATCGCCGCAATTCTTCCCAAAAGAGATAATTGCAGCTTCTTCCAATTTTCCAAATCTCTTTGTATTTTGACCCACAGCCTTTGATAATTATTTTTATACAATTTTGCATTAGAAGCAGATAAAATAACCCCCAAATATTTTACCTTATTAACAACCTCAAAATCTGTCAACTTAACCAAGGTCTCCTTATCCAAATTAGTCATGTTTTTAGGCAATATTTTAGTCTTATTATTATTAATTTTAAAGCCCGAAACCTGTCCATACTGATATATCAATTGTAATAACTCTACTATCATTTAGAGATTTTATAAAGATAGGGAAGGGGAAACTGTGTTGTATGTCCTATTAAAAAGGCTGAATAAACAAGACATTTATAGGCAAATATAAGCAGAACCCAAGCAAATATTCTTTCTTAACTCTTAAGTTATAAATATAAAGGCATTCACCTGCATGGCTTACACGTGGACTTTCTTAATTATACAATTCAAATTCTTTATACTGATTCGAAGGAAATAAAAACCTTATTTATAAATAGCGTATCGTTCGATCCTGTCTGACTGTTTAGGATGGCATATAATAGTATAAGATCAATGTGAATCACCATAATTTCTACCAGATAGAAACATGGAGTCTTTAGTAGCAGTAGAATACCACAGTAGGATCTGTACTACCATGTACTATGAAGAATTGGCTTGCTACACAACAATGATTTTCAAACCTGAGTTTGAAGACAATCTGCAGATCGAGATTAGGCAGGAACCTAATTAAGATATTAAGCAGACCTATTAAGTGCTAACCTATGTTTAAAAGTTAACAAGAAAAGGGAAAATCTGTAACAGGCAAGAGAGGAAATACAATGTTAAGGCAAAATTCTGAATTGCAAATCATGATCTCTAAGAGACATCTCAACAAGAAAATATTTGTGGCAGCGAAGAAAAGTGAAGAATCTTTGCAACGGATACCTTGTGACTTCATGCTGCAGGAGGGCAACGTTGGGCACATAAAACATGACCCCAAAGAAAAGCAAAGATTCGCTGGCAAACTTGTCCAGCTGCTTTTTCAAAGGTTTCTCCAGTTCCACCCATCGCACTTGCTGGCTCTTGTTGTGAAACCAAAGGCCAAAATAGTGTGTCTAGAGAGAGAAAAAGTTTAAAAACAACAAACAAATTATTATTTAGTCACATTTACAAACAATAAAAGTTTATCTTTTTTTCCCCTTTTCCCTTGTATTTCCACCCAAACATGCTTTCTAACTGTTACTATGCAAATTGGAGAATGAATTCATAGGTCTTTCTGGACCTGTGATGGTGTTTCACAGACCATTTGACCTTTGCAAGGGATTCAGTACATATGGGGTCTTAAAATAAGCTCTTGAAAATTACTTTATTTATCTATTTTATTTATTTATTCAATCTCTATAGCCACCCATCTCAAGCAAGTAACTCTGGGCTGTGAACAACTATAAAACAATTAAAAACATTTACAATACAATACACACTAAATATATATGTAGCAGCAAGGAAAAATGTCATTATAGATGTGAATATAGGAATTATTGTAATTATAGGAATTATATTATATAGGAATTATGGAAGTGATGCAGCTGAAATCGCCTAACCAAGAAGTCACCCCAAATATCTTTTAATCAGGGCCAAGATGATCATGTAATCCCTTTGGAGGTGGGTACCCCCAAACCTACCTGCCTCACTTAGGACAGGAAACCTTTTCCTGGTAGCTGGAGGCTGGGCAACATGCAAGACCATAAAGACAAAGATAATTTGACAAGGAAAACATCATCCAAGCATCCCAAAGATTTGTTTTAAGATATTCAAACCATAGTTTTGTGTATTTAAATAAACACTTATGTAAACACTTCAGCTCCTAAATACCATTTAAATGCCAATCTTCAGCAGTAAAATACAGAATTACTAGCTTCAATCCTTGGCATTGCCAATTAAAAGGTTCAGGCGGCAAATAATGGGAAGACCTGAAGCTGTAATCTTGGACAGCCATTAACAGTTATTGGGCTCATAAACAGGTTAACAATATTTCCCAGCTCCACTCTCCCTTCCCTTAATTACTGAAATCTTTCAATGGTATATGACTATTCTGATTTGGGAGAAAGATTTTTATTTCGAAGAACCACCAACTCTTAGGAAGGAATTCAGAGGTATTCTAGTGTATGAAGGTCATGTTTACTTTATTTTTTATTTATTTTATCTATATCTTGCCTTTCTTATTTTTACAAATAATCAAGGTGGCTAACATATCTAACACACCTCCCTTCTCCTATCTTCATGTCGCCTGTTTTCATAATGTCACTCTCTGGTTTAATCTGGCATTTAGGTCTTACCAATAACAACGATCATATTTAAAAAGAGGTTAAAGAAAAACAGGATTTTGAGAACCCTCAGAAAATGATTAAAATTTCAATTCCTTGGCTGAAAAGGTCTCAGTTTAGGATATAAAGAAAAATTCATCATAAAATAATTGGTGGGACTCACAATTTTTGCTAGAGATGAAATATAACAGAAATCTGATATAATCTAAATATTATATGATCTACAAGGGGCTACCCTTGAAAAGTATTCAGAGACTACAGTTGGTCCAGAATGCAGCCTCGCAAGTGATAGTGGGTGCTCCTCGATACACCCACGTTACACCTATCCTCCGCGAGCTGCACTGGTTGCCTATTGGTCTCCGGGTCCAATTCAAGGTGTTGGTCATTACCTTTAAAGCCCTATATGGCTCAGGGCCAGGCTATTTGCGAGACCGCCTACTACCTCATAGTTCCCTACATCCGGTTAGATCCCACAGGCTGGGCCTCCTTCAGGCCCCGTCGGCCAAGCAGTGCCATTTGGCGGGGCCGCAGAGGAGGGCCTTCTCTGTGATGGCGCCCACGCTTTGGAATCAGCTCCCCCGGAGATTAGGACCGCTCCCACCCTGTTGGTCTTCCGTAAGCTACTTAAGACCTGGCTTTTCCGGCAGGCCTGGGGTTTATAAAACCTTACCCTGGATGATTGTTTTGTATTGTTGTTTTGTTATGTTTTATGTGTTTTTTATTGTTAGCTGCCCAGAGTCCTTCGGGAGTGGGGCGGCTTATAAATTTTAAAAATAAATAAATAAATTCGTAGACCTTTTTTAATTTAAATCTTCTGGAGTTGCATTTCCTTCTCAAAATCAAATGGCACAGATCTCAATAAAAATATGGTGCCAAAATTGTTTGTGGGGAAAAGTGAAAACAAGCATAGCAATAAATGTTATTACATCTATCAACCAAAATCCAAGCTTCCTATATCAGCTGTGATAAAAGGCTGCTAATTATCCAAAATGACATGTGGTTAAAACTTAGATCAGTTGGAAGAAAGCTAGAGCTGTAGAGTAATTCAGAACAGCTTTTAAACAGCAGCAGGTTTTGATAGCATTTTTTAAAAATGTACTATAATACAGTAACACAAAAGTCATCAGAAGAGATTCCAGAATCAAACTAACAAAAACAAAATGTATCATCTGAAGCTTATCCAGCATTCCAAGAAAAAATGAATGACTATAAATTCTTGGTGCTTGGCAAGCAATTGGGGTTGTAAAGAAAGCTGCTCCTTGTGTACCTTCAAATATTTTTGTGATGACTACACCAAGTTGTGGTGGAGGATTTGGCCTGGAATGGAATGCAGGAATGCCGTGTATATCTTTAACCCATATCTTTAACCTATATCTTAACTGGGGAACTGAATAATAGGTCACAACTAAAAGAGCATAAAGATAAAATGAGTTCCAGGGCCTGCATGCCAGTTATTTTATCATGCTTTTAGTTATCGTTCCTAGCTTATTATATATAATTCTGATTTTTTTCCCTTTGGCCTTGCTCATTTTAAAAAAATAAAAACCAGAATTATACATAGCAACAATGTTGACCAACTATTAACTGGATTAGCAATAAGTCCATGACTTGAACTTAAATGATGTCAAAACCCTACCCTTCCAAAGCAGTACAGGCAGCAATCAAACGTCCATCTACACTGCCTACAAGAATATACAGGGTGAAAGATAGAAGAAAAGGCCCTCATTGTCTTATTTGTCCCATAGGCACATTAATGTTTATTTCCATTATCTTCTTAATGAAAAAAATTAAATAACTGAAGTCTCGTTCATTATACTTTGGCATCATCTGTAAAGAGAACAGGGCCTCATACAGGATTATTGTTCAGCAAAGAAGAAAATCCTTTAGTATCACAGTACTGCCGATGGTGTACAGCCTCCAAAGCAACTTATTAGAAACATGTCATGGTTAAAACACAAGATCAAAACATTCTACAGTATTCTTAGCTGTTTCATACCATTGAAACCTTTTGGCCCAACTCTGTGGAATGAAGCACAGAGCCGCTCCCACTTGCAGAGCTGGGTTTTCGAAAGCTGGCTTGAGTTGGGAAAGGTATTTGCTGGTGTCTACAACAATTGCCTTTGCATGATTTTGTTTTTTCAATGTGAACATGAACATCCACATTTTGGAGTGAGATGAATTTGTAGCCTGTATGCTGCACTTTCTCTTTGCCATTAAGTGGGTGAGACTGAACAACGGACCTCTGCTTGGACTCAATCGTGAGCTGGATTAAGGGCAATAAAATGAAACTGAATTTTGAAAAGAGGCAGGCTGTGTGAGGCTGATCATCCTTTGTGTTTCATTTATTATGGGTATAGATGAACATACATTCAAATAGCAAGATTTTAACTTGAAAATACTCCTAAATCCAGCCTGGGCACGAGAACCTCAGGCAATCTCAGTGCCCCAAAGTTATTTTTAAAGTAAGTTATTTTTAAAGTAAGTTTTCATTCATTCACCATTTGTAACTGTTCCTAGCCATGAAATCAATCTCTCATACCTACTAATCTCTGTATTAGTAGTACTAATACAGGGCTATTGGAGGTCAAAAACATTGAACAGAATCACTAAAGAATTAACTGGTAGAAGCAGCCTTATTCATGTCAATTCTGTATTTCGTGGATTGCGTATGTTCTAATTCATGTTAGAACTATAAGCCTTAAATAATTAGGATTCAGAAGTTTGAAGGTGTCTCTCTCCCCACACCAAAGCATCTTTTGGTATTAGAAGAACTACTCTATCAAAAGATGAAGGGAGGTATTTTGGCATTAGCAGTCTCTTTGATAAATGCACTACTTTCCCTAAGAAGATACACTCAGCACGTACGTATATAATCATTTATCTGGCAGCAATTTTAGCCATTTTCATTTTCCTAAGCATTTTCATTTGAAAAACAAATTAGCATTTACTACTTATACCAGAAGCATTATACTGTTATGATATTTTAGTATTTTACAATAGCAATAACATTATTAACCCTTGCTCGTCATTGCTTTGAAAAGTTGGATGCAGGTGTTACAAAATATTTTTAATAAATACAATATGCATATCAAAGAATGCATATCTACAATGTACGGAATGTAGTCCATGTCTGCTGGAAAAAAAAGAATTAGTATACAAATTTTATAGATAACATTGACTTAAAACTGGTCATTTTATGATAGTTCTAGGTTACTACAGCCACCAAACAGGTGCTTTATACAGTCTATAAAGCACCCTCGGCCATTATAAATAGTTGTCACAGACACAGAAAAAACACACATGTTGCAGCATCTGTGATCATGTGACTGTGATTCACAAAACTTTTGTTGGTTTCAGCAAAAATCCTCTTTCAAATGTTTTCCCTTAACAACCATACCATTTGCTTAATGACCACTGTGAAAAAGTTCAAAAAAATTACTTCAGGTCACATGGTGCCTCAGCTTATGCCCATAAGGACTTACAACCAGTTTTCTAGTCCCAATTATAATCATAAAACAAGGACTACCTATAAGATAAACTTAATGTTTTCATTTTAGATAATGACTGAAAAAATTGCTTATTCTCTTGGGGTATAATTTACACTATTCCCCAGAGAGCACCAAATTTCATTCATATAAACATTTGCACCCAACAGAAAGCTTCCAAGCTAATTGAGATATCCTTTAAAGCAAGTGCAGACCATGTCTGTTCTGTTCTGTTCCGTTCTGTCCTGTCCTGTCAAAGGCACTTTTGCAACTTTTACAGAGTTCCAGAAGGATAAAGCACACTTTGAAGTAGGGCTGCCCCCTACTGATGCTATTGGAACAACCTCTTGCTTAAAATAAAAATAGACAACTGAGGGCTGCAGGGGTGGGTCGAAAGTACTGACATATGACATTACCAGAGAGCAGGACTATGGTTTTCATACTGTTGTCTCTTCTTTTATGTTTTTTTTTAAATAAAGTCACTTGTAACATTCATGTAACCTTTTAAAAAACTAGGTGGGCAATTATACCACTATTATTCATCAGTTTGTCACTAAATTTCAAATGCTGATTTACAGGTCTGTGGCTGAAGAGGCACCATTCTTCCCTTAAGAGCAGGGGTGTCAAACTGCCGGTCCACAGGCCGGATGCGTCCTGGTGAAACTGTGCCCACCCCATTGTCGTCAATGGAAAAAAAGTCATGACATGTCACGACACGTCACATGACGTTGCGAGTTTGATACCCCTGCTTAAGGGGAAACAGTTATTGTGCTTTAGACTCTTGTGGCAATAAAATCTGACTTGTAGTAGCATTGAATTGAGATTCATGTTGAAACTCCAGTATATTTCACGGAGAATTAGCTGACTTTCAAAACATACACTAGAGTGGACTGTATACTGCTAGAATCAGCTTTACATCTCATGGATTGTTTAATGAAACAGAAGAAAAATGGACTTTAAGACACTTCTTCCAGCAAATATTTCATATTTACAGCAATCCCCATTTATAAAAGTGGTCTGATGTCATGCGTGAATGTGGTTGTATTGTTATCCACTCCAAGTGTAAAGCAGTCTTTTGCCTATAGTAAAAAAAAAAAAAAGATGTTCCCTTTCATATTATATTAGAGTTTCATCCTGACAGGAAATAACATTGAATCACAATCCAAACTGTATGTAATAGACTGCCCTGATGTTTGGGTAAGCAAGAAACATTTGCCAAAGTTCCATTCGGTGACAAGATTGGACCGATTCCAAGAATAACATGATTCTAATAAACAGATTCCAAATGACAAACAGCCTGAGCTAAAAATATACTGAGCGGCAAGTTACAGATGGTCTTTTCCTGGGTTATCCTCACCTCTGGTAATTCCAACCTCTGAGCCACAGCCTCCAAGCATTCTTGCCCAGTGCTCTCCACAGACAATGTGCACTCAATCACACTATTGTCCAACAGTCGAATCCGGGTCATGAAACAGTTCTTGCTCCGGACATTATAGCGTCGAGTCCTTCGCAATTTCAGCCCAAAAGGCATGTCTGCTAGGCTAAAGCAGCTATCCTTCTCACACCTTGGATCTTCTTAGTAAGGAAGGTTTGAATGCTGTTCCTTTATTTCCAGCAATTCTTCTCCAGGTTTGCAAAAGGTTGCCCATGCCAAAGGTGGATACTCCAGCAATATCCTGAAAAACAGCAATGCAATGTATGGTTAATTGTCATGGAGTTGGCTGGGAAAGGATTTTTCCCTTGGGGCAGTAACAGCTGTTGGCTTTCAAAGATACTTCAGACCATTGGCCAAACCCACAAATTTTCTTTGAAGAAACACTGTATGGGTACATGTTCTCTTTGAACTCCCTGTCTACTACTAATTATTTCCTTCTTCAGTTCTGGACTAGAGAAAAGAAGCATACCACTAAGGCAGAAGGACAGAAATTGAAAACAGGATTAGAAAGACCACCAGACTATCTGTATCAATGGCGATTTGCAAACAGAATTCCATTTTGGGGATGCAAGTATTCTCATAACCTGACTCAATGCTCCATGGCCCTTTTCACTGGAGGTTAACTCAAGTTAATACACTGTAAATAGATAACATGATACTAAAACTATCCTTAATCATAATTAGCGCAGGTGCATATCTATAATAACTTTAAGTTATTATTAATGCTGATAAAAGCAGGATTTCAGGAAGTCTCCTTGGGAACATTTAGTTGTGGATTGGTTTTATCAAACAGAAATTATGATAATTCCTTAAAATAATTTAGAGTTATAACACAATCATTAGAGTAGGATGAGGCTGAAATCAACTAAACTGGTATGTGGATGTAAGGGAATGAGTTTTTATAGATATTTTATAGATTTGTTTTTTATTCTGATTATTTGGGGTGTTGATGTTTGGATTGTTTTGTGTGCTGTCCAAGGTTGTTGTTACAATATGTGTGGCTATGTAAGTCTTTTTAAATCAATCCATCAATCAAATAACACAGGGTTAGCACAGTTCAGCCCCAAGCAATCTCATTTGCTAATGAAATAAATGTTGCTATGTAGGCAAATCATGGGGAAATCAAGAAGAAGCTGCTCTTGTAAGTTTCCTAATCCAAATAATACCTTCAAAGTAGTTTCACTGGTGGAAAACAAAAGCCTGGTAAGTTATTTTTAAAAAAATCTGCACCCTCAAAAACTAAACAAAATTAAAGACAATTGTAAGACCAGTAAGTTATGTTCTAATCCAACGTGTTATTACCCCACATTACTATAATAAGACTTTCTTCTGAGGAAACACGCTTTGGTTTCCAATGGTAGGCATTCTAGTCCCTCCAGTTGGACTATGCTGTTGTCAAAGATTCTGATATTTTTAAAGCAGTAGCTAAGTAAATAAGAAAAACACATTTTCTCTCTTTTGTTATTAACAAATGAATATTCAACTACTGTAGGTATCTGAACATGTTTTCAGCTCCTTCTCCCTTCTGCTTGCCCCTTTGTCTTGTTTCCCTAACGTCAAAGTCCTGATATCAGAAAAGTTGCATATTTATAGAATGATTTTTTTACACACAAAAAACAAGCAATTGGATAGAATCCTAGTGACAACTAGCCAATCAAGCAACAAGGTTAGGGAATTCTTGGATTTAATCCATACAACTAAAGGCATCAGCTTGGAGAAGGCTACAGTAAAAAAAAAACAATCCATTCTGTAATAACACAAGAGTTAGAAATGAAAAAGTAGGAAGAATGGAAGGAAACTAGACAAAGATCATTAAGGGTAGGATTGGGTCATATCTAACTTTTGCTTTTGAACTTGGCAATGTTATTTTCCTTATTGTTTTACTTAAATAGATTTCCTTTCATCAGAACAGGCACTCCCTTAGACTCATTTCATTCAGAATAGTGTGCTATGAATAAAAATAAATATTCTTTTATATTTCAAGGCTTGCTGAAACAAGAAGACAATTGAAAAAAAACTTGCATATAAAAATTATGGGGACAAATTATGGATGAACGTTATTCAGGTATAATTCAAGGGACTAGTTATGATCTATAAAGGCCTTATACGACATATAGCCTAGTTATTTGAAGGACTTATCTCTTACGGTATCAGCCAACCATTATGATCTAACAGGGTTGGTAAATTCCTGTTTCCTTCAGTCCAACAGTGTCATTATCAGATTGCAGAAACATGTCTCCTCTGTCATCGTACTTGACCTCTGGGATAAAGTTACCCTTAAGAACTGGGTGGCCCCCACCCTGATGCCATTCCATAAAGGCCTGGCTCTTTTCCCAGGCTTTAAGCAAGGAAGTTGGGAGTCCCTTGTTAGTTGCTGTTGGCCAGCTTTGCCATATTGTTTTTTATTAGGATTGTATATTGTTATTTATTTTTATTCCAGGAGCCACACAGACGTGGTGTCCAAATCAAATCATCATCAATAATAGTATCAAAATGCTATTTCATCAGTATCAAAATCAAAATATCAAAAATAAAAAAGTAACTCCAGAAGGAGGAGGAATCACGATACATTAGGATTGCACTTCCGCACTTGAGACTGAGGCACAACTTGGAGGTCATCTTTGAGTCACAATTTCGGTTCAAAGAGCAGCTGGCGGGTCTAACCAAAAAGACCTTTGCGCAGATACACTTAGTGTACCACCTGAAACATTCCTAGACTAGAAGGCCATTCAGACAGTCACTTATACCCTAATTGCCTCATGCAAGGATTACTGTGATATGCTTCACATAGAACTGTTTTGAAGACCACTTGGAAGCTACAGCTAGTTCAGAATTCAGTGGTGCATGCAGTGTTGGCCATGCCTCATTAATATCTTAATGACCATGCTTATTCACAGTCAACACTGGCTTCTCGGAGCAATTCATGGAGCTGGCTATTTACCTCCAAAACCCTTTATGGCAGAGGCCTGTCTCTAGTTGCCTTTGCCCATCCAGTAATATCAGGCAGAGTGGTCACCACTTAAGCATTATCATTTTATCGGTCATAGAAAGCATGCCTTCTCTAGAGGGGCTCCTGCCCTCTGGAATGATGGGTTTCTATCCTCAAGATTTGAATCACCCCCAAACACACACACACACACACACACACCATGACATTCAAGAAGCTATCAAAGACTTGGTTATTTTCCCTTCTCCTATAAGAAGGTTGGATAAATTGTGTAAATAAATAATTTACAAATATTCTATATAGTTATAAATACCATAATTAGATTCTTTCCCTAGATGCATATTTATGAGAATAAATATTCAATCTAGTCTCTGATTATATAAAAAGATAATTGTTTTCGCAAGTTGGGCAAATTTTTTGCAATAATATAGACATGTCTTTTTCTTGGTAGAAATATTGAAATAGCATGTTGTTGATGGAAGATGCTTCCTAGTCGAATCTACAGCCTTTATATAATGTGGTGCTCTCCCATACAAGTGTCAACATCGTATGACTAACCTTGGTTGTTGTTGTTGTTGTTTTAATCATGCAAGGTCAGTAGGTTCTGTATACAAATTGCATAATTATCATACTCATGTAGCTTTTTTTTCTGAGACAGCACAAGACTCAGGATGGCAGAAATGGAGTTGAAAGCAAGTTTACAATTTCTAATGGGGAACTCGTATTGATAAGACCCTTTGTTTTACCAATCAGACTCCATATCTGGTTTATTTCAAAGTTAGGAAAACTCTTGACCTCACATATCTTCAAAACGGACAGAATTGGAGAAAAACTATATTGGAATGTACCTATAATTCTTGGAAACCCAGCACATTTCCAACTGAAGAACATATAAAACCAGCTTGAAAAGTGGTCGGAATTTACTATTTTTCAGTCTTTCTGGGTAAGCCAGACAGGAAACATGACTAGATGAGCTAATTCTACTTTATTGAAAGACTACATTGACATTAATCTTGCAAGTCTGAAGGCACAAATTTCCTATTGCCACTTTTAACCACCTGAATAATTAGGGTGAGTCCTTCCTAAATGTCTTCCTTGGACCATTAAATCATTAGGTTCTCTTGCCACTCTAGTCTGGTCATTTCCTAGGCAGCATCTCTTCCCCTAACCACCCAAGATCATCCACAGAGTTCATTATAAATTTGAAGCACAATTTGGGGGGACATGAATGTGGAATCAGAACTAGGATGCTAAAAGTTTCACTATCGTCATGCCCAGTTATAGTCCATAGAGTCCAAAGCAATTTGCTGAGTATTGAGATGCTTTCTTGAATGCCATTTGGGCAAAAAGTCAAAACTTAAACAGTACAAATAAATTGAAATAAATTAGGATTTTTCTATACATAAATTACTTTTTTTGCATTCACGTGCATAAATGTAACATAAAGCATAACGAGGCTTTTTTAAAAAAGAAACAAACAAACAGAATATGGTTCTCTTTCAAATAGCTTTGTTCAAAAGCTTCAAACATCTGTTCACAATGAAGGAGAATATTAAAAATGGCATGAGAAAAATAATTAAAAGCTGTGTTTATAAGAATGGAAATCTTTGTTGCAGAATCCAATGCATGTTTTCTCTTTATCATGTCCCATTGCATGAATGTGAACAGCTACTCCTTGACAGTAGAGTCTTTGCCTTAGCACTATTTTGACCAGAGTTGGTAGCATTTGGTTTTCCAGAAATGAGGCTACAGCATCACAGATGGGTAGATTCTACATTGTTGGTTAAACCACAGATCATTCTATCCCTTGTATATATGCTGCATGTCCTGCATATTCAACAGAGAAATTAAACAGGAAGGGGTTGTTCTAATCTCTTGACAGCTGCTGCCTTTATAGCCTACAAAATATTTTACTAGTCTGATTTTTACTCATGTGAGGAACTGCCCAAAATTGGGATGGAATGCTCTGTCTGTTGACCATGAAATTTTTTTTTCTAGTTAGTTAGTAATATGCTGCTATGAATTTTTAGAAGCAAATTTTCAAGGAACCTTGCCTGAATGATTCTCTTCCTAGTTTCAAGTATAGCAAAACTCAAAAATTTCAAAACTCTAACGTGCTCAGAAGCCAAGATCATAACTCAGTTTAATTCTTTGAATTCTCTACAATCCTGGCTAGACTGTTTCTCCAAACATGTGTCATAGCATTTTTGAAAATATATCCCATTTAATGTTGGTGACTTGGTATGTTCTTTGACTGATGATTGGAACAAATATTTCTGATTGACCTAATCATC